GCCTGGCCTACCTCCACCTGGACCGCAACGCCCTCGCCCACCTGCCCGCAGGCACCTTCCGGCTCCTGCCCGCCCTCATCTCCCTGCACCTGCAGCACAACGCCCTGCAGGAGCTGGCGGAGGGCACCCTGGCAGGGGCCGGGGCCCTGCGCTGGCTCTACCTCGCCGAGAACGGCCTCAGGCACATCGCCCCCGCCGCCCTGGCTCCTGCCAAGATGCTGGAGAAGCTGCACCTGGAGGGAAACGGGCTGGTGGAGGTGCCCACGGCGGCCCTGCGGGGCCTGCCTGCCCTCAGCAAGCTGAAGCTGTCCCGAAACCCCATCAAGTGTGTGGAGGATGGCGCTTTCCTGCCCGTGGCCTCCAGCCTTCAGCACCTCTACCTGGACAACATGGGCCTGGAGCAGGTGGGTGTGTGGCTGGGGAGCCCCTGATGGAACAGCCATAGGGCCCATCTCGCTCCCGTGCCCAGGGCTGGTCACCCAGATAGGACCATCCTGATGTATGGCCTGGACTCCCAAAGGCCTTAGGAGGTGTTCTACAGTCTGGCTGGGAAGAGAACCTCCCTGGGGCTCAGTCTGGGCACAGCTCCAACCTGCCCCACAGTCCCCTGGAACAGTCCCGCTCCCTCTGGGTCTTAAGGACACACAATTTCAGTGAGGTCCAGACCATTCCCGAAACCACCACCTTCCCCCAGCTCTACCTCTTACTACAAGTGTCCTGGCAGCCTTTTCTCCACTATTGCCCTGAATTCCTCCATCCTCTAAAAAAGAGAAAAGCAGTGTTAGCACACCTCTCCTAAGGACCATCCATCTTTAACAGCACTCAGGGATTGCCCCAAAACCTCCTGTGTCACCTTTCCAGGCAGACTGAGCAGGATCTGGTGAGTCCCCAAATGTGCCTGGAAGCAGCCGAGCTGAGCGGTCCCTGAGCACTCGTGCTGCTACTTACAACAGCTCTCTCAGGGGGCCACCAGGCTCAGGACAGGCTGTCTCAGCCCCCCAAGGCTGATCAGCAGCACAGGGTCCTCATCAGGACCACCCTGACTCACAGTCCCTTCCCTGCAGATTTCCCCCCGTGCTTTTGCTGGCCTTGGTCCCAAGATCAGAAGCCTCTACCTGGAGAACAACAAAATGAGCAACATCCCCCTCATGAGCAACTTCACCGGGCTGGAGATCCTCAACTTGAGGGACGTGCCTTTCCACTGTGACTGCCAGCTCCTGCCTCTGCACAGGTGAGTGTCACGAGGGGTGGGAGCAGACCTGTAGGACCACCCGACCCTACTACACAGGGACACAAGCCCATGGCACACTGGCCCTTTCGGGTCTTCTCCTGTGACACACGGGCCCTTTTCTTGTCTTCTCCCATGGTGGGGAGGTGGAACACACCTACACGCAAGGATGGAAGCAGCCTGGTGTAGGAAGTTCCTGGTTTAGGGAAAGCAGCTGCCAGCTGGGGTCGGCAGATACTCAGATATTCAAAGGTTGCCCAAGCGAGGCCCTTGGCAACCCAGCCCGGCTCTGAAGGACCCACTCACGGTCACAGAGTTTCATCTCCCCCTTTGCCCTGTCCCCATTCCTTTCCCTGATCTCCTGCCACGTTTCCAGGTGGATCAACAAACTCAACCTCCGCGTAGGGGCCACCTGTGGGTCCCCTGCAGAAGCCCAGGGGCTGAAGGTGAAACTCTCCACTGCCTTCCAAACCTGCCCCGGTGGGCGCCGAGGTGCAAGTGGGGGAGCCGGTCCTGACAAGACCGAGGCTGCAAGCAAGCCCAGCAAGAAAAAGAGATCAGGAAAATCACCAGCCAGAGGATTCAAGAAGAACAGGGCGTAGGGAACGCGTGCAGGACACGACAGGGCTGTACCCACACTGTGGTGAGAGCAGTTCTTCCAGACTCCTAGTTCTCCACCACAGCCATATGGCCGCTGCAGGAGCTGCAGAGAGAGCCTGGTGCCACCAAAGAGATGCCAACGTGCCAAAGATGCATGGCTTGGTTTTGCAGGACACAGAGCCACGTTACCCTGGAAAGAACTTGTGCAGAAACCTCCAGTAGCCTTTGCAGCATGCTTGGTGGACTGTTAAGCACCAAGCCAAATCCTTGATTTTTCTTCCCCAGGTTCTCTCTCTGGCCATGTGGGAAAGCTGGAATCCACAAGTTTGGTTTTATTTTTAAGAGCATGGTGCTTTCACAGCTTCAGGAAGGGCTGAGGAGCCACGAGGGGGACTGCAAACAGCAACACAAGACCCTGCCCTGGCTCAAATCTTAGAGCAGAAAATGTAAAAATTATCATCAGTGAAAACAGTGTCTGAATTGCCAGCCCCAATTCCCAGCAGCAACTCAGAATTAAACGTAAGCAGATCAAAACCTTTCTCTTGCCTGCAGAATTTTTGTCAGTGGTTCAGTTGGTGGAAGGGGATCACTGATCCCATGTGATCCCATCATAAGCAAAGTGCCCAACCCCATTCCCCAGGGCAGCCCGTCTGGGACCTCATCCTGGTGCTGGTCACTTGGCAGAAGAGACCAACTCCCACCTCACCCCAACCTTTCATTTCTACTTGTTCCACTGCTCCCCCAAGGCACTTTCCTCCCTCTCCAGTTAAAGGCTCCACTCAAATCTTCAGAAAGGAAAAGAGGGAGCCCATGCTAATTATTCTCAGTCTCTGCCCCATGTCTTCCAGACAGCTTGGCAATATTAGTCATTAGTCTCTTGGTGCATTATTTTTGGCATGAACACGGGAAGTAGTTTATCATCAGAAGGTATTGTCTGGCAGCCATTTCATGGCCAAGGCCACCATTTCGTGGCCAAGGCAGTGTCCTGGGCAGCCACCCTGTCCCCAGCTGGGCCCTGCAGTGGCACTGGCAGGCAGGACACTCCCCACCTGCAACAAAGTTCACAGGAACCTTCCCCAGGAGAATTAAAACCATTTCTCAGCACTGTTGCCACACCGACCTTCCTGATTTCTGTCCTGAAAAGAAAAAACCTGTTGCATGCCTCAAAAAAACCCACCCAGAATGCTGTTTACTTACAGCAATGTGCTCAGAGCCCTCTGCTCCTCCCCATCTTGGCTAACCCCAGTATTCTGGGGATCCAGAAAGCAGATACACAAGCCTTTGGCCTCTTCCTCAAGTTTAATTCACAGGGCTTTTAGGGCAAGATCACAGATCAAATTTATGGTAGGACCACTAAAAAAATCAAAATCCTGTGCACCATGTCCTCTGCAGTTCTGGGTTCAAAGGCAAGAAATGGTGACACTCAGAGAGGTCTCTTGCTCCTTCTAGAGGCATCACCCCTTGTTCTCTCACCTCTTCCTGCTCCTTCTGTCCTGACTTTCTCAGGGGTTTAGGTGTTGCAGGGCCCAGACCAGGGAGCACAGCACCAACATCCTACCAGGGCAGCCTGTTTCCTGACACGTGTGACCTGCACACGTCAGCCCACCACCTGCAGCTACAGCCAAAACCCCAAAACCCTTTGTGCTCTGGCAGACCCCTTCCCCATCAGGAACTCCTGCTCAGAAAGGTGCCCTCAACACCTGCAGCCACCCTGGCCACACTCCTCAGCCCACCTGTGGCCTTTCTGGAGTCTGTTTCCCAGAGCTTCAAGTTACAAGCCTGGGGGAAATTTTCTTGCATGCCAGAAGAACAGAGTTGAGATGTTGCAGAGCAGTCTGCCTCAAAAAGGGAAGGCCCTTTTAGTGTCCTGGTTTCCTTTGCTGAGGCCTTCCCCAAAAAGCAAGGTGAAGCACAGGCTCCTGTGGGCTGCTGAGGGACACTCTAGGATCAGTCCATGTCCTCCTCCTTTATGCTGCTGACAGGAATGGGAAGCTCTGTGGCTCCAAACTCTGCTTCTGAGGGGTCAATGCTTTCTTCTTTCACCTGCACAGCAATGACTAACCAGTGACAGACAGAGAGAAAGAAAAAATAACAAAATCAAAATCCTGCTGCCTTGCCCCAGAGCCAGTTCAGTTCATGCACATACTCAAAACATCCCAAGTTTCCAGCCCACCTCTTGGGGGTCCCTCACCACAGGCAGGCCTGTCTTGCTTGCACAAACCTACCCGTGGTCATAGCAGTGAGCAGGACAGGACCAAACCCTGGCAGCACTCAGCTGCCTGCTCCCTGCAACAGCTTCTAAGGCTGAGGGAGGAAGAGCCAGTGTGGTCCATTCTCTACCTGCCTGGGTCCACACAGGAGAAATTAAACCTGTGAGCAACAGGGGCTTTCATCAGGCTCCATCCCTCTGTGCTCAAAGCACCTCACCCACCCTCTTCCCCAACACCCACAGGGGTTGGCAGGTGACCCAGATGCTCTTCTGGTCACCACAGCTCTTGCTGCTCAGCCTGGTGGGCTGTTCCCAAGCTGCAGCAGCCCTTTGGGGACTGGGGTGTGACAGCACACCCCCGACACAGCCACCTTGTCTCTCCTCCCTGACTGACCCCACACAACCCGACTGCTCAGCAGGGCAGCCAGGCCCTTAGCAGGATCAAGGTACCATTGCTGTCCTGGTGCCACCAAACCTCCTCAGGGAAATCAGACACAGGTTTTCTTCAATTCTGTCTCTGGAGGAGTGGGGAGGGACATTTGGCACGGTACTGCCCCACCCTGCCTGGGCACACCCACAGCTGCAAGCCAAGAGGCAGCACATGCCCGAGAAGGGCTGGTGGCACGCAGGGTACACATGAGAGAGCTGTATGTGGCTTCTGGGCAGAGCAACTCAGTCCTTACTCTCATCAGGTGGTGGCTCTGGCAGAGGCTTGCTGGCAGCTTTTGCTTCTTGATTCCCCTTTGGGGTGGAAGCCTTCTTCACAGTCTGCTTCATGTTGCGGGTTTTGGGAGGTAACTTTTTTCCTTAATGGAAGAGAGAAGAGAGCATGTGGAAAAGTGTTCCTTCTCCTCTGAAAAAATAAGCAACCCTGCTCCACTGAGAAACCACAGGACAGGGACCAGCACCACCGACCAGCCAGCTACATGGTCATTAGCTGTCAATGGGTTACTGGACAAAAACGGAGAAAAATCCTATGGTCATCATCCCAAAATATGCTCCTCTGTGTTCTCCTTCCTTAAAGGCAAGGCACTTCAGCACCTGCTTAACTGCCACGGAGCAGGTCCTGTGGGATCAGTCTGCAGTCAGCTTTGCTTACCTGGATGGGTCTAGTCCTAGGTAATGGGCATGTTCCTGCAAGGCACAGACACTGTGGCACTAATGTTTTCAGCTTCAGCTGATGTTTTCATTTAGACTGAACGTCTTTATAGCCTTTAGATTTCATCTCCACCCTCCCAGGAAGGAGTTTCTTGCCTGTCTACACATGATCTGCCACAGCTACTGCAACAAAGACGACAGCAACAACAAGATGACACGATAACATGGTCTGGCCCCACCACTGACCACTTCAGCCACCTTAAGGCTTTGTTTCCCTCAGCACAAAGCAGGCAGGGCTGCTCTGCAGCAAACAATGTCCCTCCAAGCATGGACATGGGGAAAGCAGCACCACCTCATGCCTGGAAGCCAGCGTCACCTCTGCCTCAGCCAGCAGAACACAGACTGCCAAACAGACCCTTCCCACGCACGCAGCTCTGCTCTTTGAGGCAGTTAAGAAGGATGAAGCCCTGTTGTCAAACCCACAGCTGACCCGAGGGCATCCACGGCAAGACAAGGCCTCTCTCTCCTGCTCTGACGGGACATGGACAGGGTTCCTCTAACTGGGCTCAGCCTGCGAGTGAGCGGGAGGGCACTAATCAAACATCACTCACTCTTCTTTCCATAGGGTTTCTTCTTCTTCTTCTTGGGCACCTCCTTGGCCTTCACTGGAGTTGTGGGCTCTGTCATGGAGACGAGAGGGAAACGAAAGCCAAGTCCCATAACCAGTAGGTAACTGGGATGAAGTGACATAAGCGAGAAACAAGATACACCCGTCCCCCCGAGCCGACGCCCTCTTCCCGAGACAACCAGCTGAGGGGAAAGCAAGGCTCTAGAGCAGCTGCTCTGTGCTTCCAGGCCAGGGGCTGGGGCAGCACAGGGGAGAGAGGCCCAGCAGACTGGGCAGGGGCAGTCAAGAAAAAAAAGAGTCACAGCTTGGGACAAGAAGGCAAACATCCGCAGAGGCGAGGCAGAGGCCTCCCTGTGACAAGGGAAGGAAGAAACTCCTCAGGGGGATGCTCTTACCTTTTACAGACAGAGCCAGGAAATGGATGAGAAAAGGGAGCAGGGGCCGAGCTCCCCCTGCTACCTGGCTGAGGCTGTAGGCACGCTTAGTAAAAGGGAGCTGTGCAGGGACAGGACTACCTGGAACTCTACCTGACTTCATCACGAGCCATTCTCTGTTGGCGTGTAGGTGGGGGAACAGAGAGAAAAGGGAGCCACCCTCAAATCTCAGGCTGTCTTCTCCCCACCAGAGCCCTCCCTCTGCCAGCTGCTAGAACGTCTAGCAGCAGAGGAAGATTTATGGCAGCCAGCACAAATCAAGGAGGCGATTTTCTCCTCCCTACAAGGCCCCAAAAAAAGAGGAGCCACTCCCGGAGCAGGAGGAAGGAAACCTTTGTCTCTAAGGTAGGAAACCACAGAAAACCTTCACTCACCTTGGACGACAGGGGGCTGGAGCTGGTAGCCTATGAGCTCACACCACCCCACGGGATAGATGTCAGGGGACTCACAGTCCACCCACTGGTCGTACTCGTTGTCCCAGCCGTCGAAGTGGATGCTGAGGAGGCGCTGGACGACGCGGTTCACCGTGGCCACGCAGATCAGCCTGGGCTCCATCAGGTCCACTGCCTCCACTTTCATGCCCGCCTTGAAGCCGTGGTTTGGGCAGTCCTGAGGGCAGATAAAATACACAAA